ACATCAGAAATTTTCAGTGAAACGGAAGTTCAGATGTACTTGTCGTCTCCGGTCATTCCAATTAAAAAAGACGCAATTGAGATTTGGGAAGGCATGAAGTCTATGTATCCAAAACTTGCGAAGATTGCAATGGTATATCTGCCGATTGTTGCCGTATCTGTACCGAAAGAACGTTTGTTCTCAGAGACTAGGGCAACTATCCCTAAAGACAGAAATGAGCCTCTGGGGACTGGATGTTCTAAACTCCGTTTCAAAATTTTTACATCTTTCATAACTGTAACTGTTATTTTCTTTAAATTGTGAAGTTTAAATAAATAAATTTGCCAAATTGAAAAAAAATGTGCTTTATTATTTTTAAATGATTTAATCATTTGGAAGTTAGCTAAACTTTTGCTGACTGTTCCACTAGTGCAATAAAGTTGCATGACGGATGAGATGAATTAAATATCGATGTATCGTTTTAATTTCACCTATGTTTCTAAAAGCGATCTTATTTTCAGAAACACGTATGTCATTTATAGGGAAAAAATATTTAATGTTAATAATTATTTGTATGTCTATAAATATTTACTGTGCGTATAAACAAATAATATACATGTAGTATTAGTCAAAATCGATCCAGTGGTTCTCACACAATATACCGAACCACTATAATTCTTTTTATGTTATTTTGTGTTGTGTTATGTTATGTTATGTTATAACTGTGTACGTGTGTTTGTGGTTGTGTGTCTGCGGTGTGTTGATAAGTGCATAACAAACAGTGTTAAAAACATGTCCATAAACTGCCAAGTAGTAAAATCCAAGTTCTACATTTTTTTTAAATGATTTGATTTATCTTGAAATGAAATAAACGCTTGGAACTATTTCAACCTATTTACGTTTAAAAATAACTTCTCATCACGTGATGATTTGTTCGGGGGCTTGGATCAATGCAAACGTTTGACATTCGTTTAACCAGCGTAGGTATGTGTAAACGGATAATAAAACCAAAATTTTAGAAAATAAAAAATTATTATACTATTAGTCAATGATGTCGATATTTAATTATTAAGTATTATTGATACAATATGATTATTTTACTGGTAAATAGTTGTAATTAATCTGACGAACATGCGAGATGACAATGCGACAAACTGAAGAACTTAATGAAAATGAGTTATATTTAAAAAAAAATAAAATAAAAATTATATGAATGATTGAAAAAAAACAATTTATTGTTTTTATGACTTTATGAAGTTGCATTTTACAGTAAGCGCTCTTGATCCGCACTGAGTGGTGACACTGCTCCCACCTTATCCTATGAATATTCAGAAACAGTCCTTACGAAAATATTTTCAAACTATTTTGTCGTTGTCTAAATTAATTAAGTTTGCCAGTTATATATTTTTCAGACGAATGTGCGATTTTTACTACTGTAGTGTGTTTCAACTTTAATTTTTCATTATATTGATATGTGGACTAAAACGTAGAAAGCAGCTCAGTGATCGGAGGAAATATTCTACCAATAACATGATTAATAACTTTTTTAAATTGTAATTCAATCTATCAATCACTGTATATTATGTATGTAAAGCCCTTTTTAGCTTTTAAGGGTGCTTTTCAAAAATTTGACAAAAACATAAAGTATAAAAATGAAAAATAGTGCATTCTACAATTGAATCTTCAATAGACATTTTTCATCTTTTGTAAATATTGTAATTTTCTATTGTATTCAAACCAGGTAACTTCAACACAATTTTTTGTGTCCTAAATCATGAGTAACTACCACATTACCTCAAATTCAACCAACATGTGCATCAGTAAGAAGTTTTCTGTTTGTTTGGTCAGTTGTACAAAAGTTTTAATGTTTTGCAACTATTTTATTGCAATCGAAACTTGACAAAAATTTAGTTTCAACAAATGATAAAAAAATAATTTTAAAAATTAAATAGTGCAATAAATAACAATGCCAAACAAGCCAGCATAATGTCGGAAATTATCAGTAAGTTAGATTTATTTATTTCTGAAAAACTATTAATCCAAGATAGAATGAGGCAAAGCATATCTCAATGTTGCTTAATTTCGGTACTTGAGTAGGAATAAATGTCAACATCTATTTTGCTTTTGAGGCATAAAATCCCAAAATTCTCTCGTATTATTAAGTGCTGCATGTGAATTATTAGCGTTAAAGTGCTCTTAAACATTCGTAAATTTGCATTCGATTGAAAAGTTTGTTTTTTTTTATCACCAATTGCCTTTGCAGTTCCATGCGTTTCAGTTTTTAAAAACTTCGTTAATTGAGAATGTATGTAAGATTTTTATGCCTTCAAACTTTATCGAATACTGTTTGATAAGATGATTTTAAGCAGAACTACTACGCAACACAATCAGAAAACATTCATTAAGTATTTTGCATCGGAAGCATAATAACAAACTTTTATTATATTCTGGCATGTTATTGTTGCTATAACTTTAAAAATTTAATTTAATTTAGTGTTTAATTAAATAAAACGTTGACTGCGTGGTAATTTTTGTTGGAGTCTGATAGTTTCTGAATGGATGAAACTATGCGAAATATGTGAGATTGATGATGAAATGATGACGACTAACCATGGAGCTATGGACCGTGACATTTGCTCCTCAAACCAATGGGACCCATCCGCTCTTCTCATTGTTTGTCTGATCAAAGATTTGTGTTGTATAATTTTCAAAATTAAGTAGTAATATTCTTAAAAACAATTTTATTGCCAAATGAAAATATTTAGTTACAAAATGAACGGCTGATTGAATGTTTAACAAAAGTTGATGAGCAAACCACGATGGCATTATAATTTTTTAATTGTTGTTGTTGTCGTTGAAACTTTTTGTTGCAATTACATTAAAACATTGGTGCAAAATGTCTTTGTGAAATTACGTTAATACAACAATGTTAAAAATTAGCATCACTTGCATGAAGAACTCTTCCAAAGTTATTCAACATGCGCTCAGCACGAAGCATTCACTTCCAGCAGCTTAAATATAAAACCCGCAGACTTCGCGTCTATTCAAATCGAGAAAAAGTTTAGAGAGAGGCGCCAGCTGAAGTTTACATTTTTATAATTTCACCTGATTACATTCAAGTATTTTCTGTCAAACGATAATCATAAGATTTGATAGCAGATTAATCCTCGGTTCGCGGCTAACAAATTTGTTAATTATATATAACGTAACGTTGAATTTATTATCTATTTGAAAAAATATGGGTTAGGTTAAAAAGATAATTAAAACTTTTATACATAAGTTTATAAGTGCTTAAATGTAAATATGCTGATTTTTGCAATTCTATTGAAAGCACTGATAATTCTCGCTTCGACCGCTGACACGGTCACCTTACGTGGTTACAGAGCAAACAATGACGAATATGAAGATGAGCTTGCGGGTTACGATGGAACAAAAATAAGACATACCAACGCTGAGGATGACCTAAGTAATTCTCACCATTACCAAAATTTGGTGGAACTTCATGGAAAAAAACAGCCAAACTTTGCTTCTCATCAGCAAATACTTCTGCCCCCATCATCGGAGGCGACATCATCATCATCAGCGTCCTTGCAAATGACATCATCATCGTCATCCGTTCATAACAAAGCCTTCGAATACATGATGGATCTGTATAAAAAGTTTTCCAACGACAAATACTCCCATCCCATTGCAGACATCGTTCGAGGATTCGTTAGTCTCACTGAAGGTTGGTTCCCGCTTATTGACTATTTTAACGTGTTTGCTGTTGTTTATTTGTACGCTTTACGTTTATCAGTTTTTTCTTTACTGTTCTGGCAATGGTGTTTTATAAAATTAATTTTAAATAATTAAACACAAACGAAAAAAATGTTACTAGCGATTTAGCCTACAAAATAATTTCAGCTGCTATATTAATCTTAAAATTCAAAAACTCTTTATTAATTGACCAATGACGACACCATGTAATTAAATTAATCAATTTTAGATGTATTCAAAAATTTTATTTTTTTATTAAAGTCATATTAAGACAAAATAAATATTAAAGGCATATTTTTTATTTGGATACATAATTTTTTTGAAGAATTTATTTAAAGTATGTGAAATAAATTTACAAAACGAAGTTTCCGAACTGAGTTCCATGACGTGGCACTACAAAGGCAGCGCGAAGACGTGGAACCACACGATGTCCTTCAACGTATCCAGCATTGACAGCTACGAAATCATTCAACTGGCTGAGTTAAGGTTTTGTTCTCTCTCTGAGCGTGATCACCTCAACAACAATTGTTAGTCATCAAAAACATATTTACAACAAAATTTTACTGCAGTTCAATAACTTTTACCACCTTGTCTTTTGTCTAGTTCCCGAAAGAAAAGTAACCTTGTTCGAAGTAATCAATGGATCGGATGGAACAGTTGAATATCAAACCATTCTCAATCGGGATGTCAGAGGTCACCAAATGAGATGGGAGACATACAGCATGACTGAGGTACTTAAAAGATGGATCAAATCTGATAAGTATGTCAATAGAACCGTCATGGTGAATGTTGAAGTTACGGAAACTATTGAAAATGAAGATAAAACAGAAAGTTTAAAAAACGACCAATATAAAAACAAAATAAACTTTTTTAGTGAAGATAGTGATGATAACCGCTATAACAAGTGGAACGACGATGATAACGACGAACGTGACGAAGATGAAGTAAGAGAAGATGAAGATGCCACTAATGATCATCCGACATTTCAGCCTATCTTGGTCGTATTTTCGAATGACAGAAAAAACAGAAAAATAACTAAGTCCAAAGAGTTGAGAGAAATTGAGAGACATGAACCAAAAGATTTAATAGATGGAGATGATTTGAACAACGAGTTTGATGAAATCGATATTGATATTGTAGATGAAGATTCAATTAGCCATGACGATCACTTTTCAAACGAGGTTGAAAATAATTTTGAAAATAAAACACATATTCGAAAAAAACGCCAGATCGGAAATAAAAAAAATCGAAAAGTGCAGGACAGTTGCAGAAGAAAAAAAATGTACATCAACTTTGAAGACATTCATTGGAATGAATGGATTGTACAACCTAGAGGATACCAGGTAAAATATTTACAAATAAATTTTTATAAGGTGCTTAATCACTGAAACATCTTGATTATAATCTTAATTTAGAGCGTTATCATTGGCAGTGATGAAATATTATATTCTAATTCCAATTGCAAAAACTCAAATGTTAATTTATTAAAAACCCTCTGCTACTTTAGGCATACGAATGTGTGGGACAATGTCACTTTCCTCTCAACTCTCATCTCACTCCTACAAAGTACACGGCCATTAAAAGTCTTCTACACGCAACCTATCCGAGAAAGATCAAACCGGCTTGCTGTGTTCCAACTAAATTGCAGCCTATATCATTGCTCTACTACGACGATAACAACGTCCTCACCTACAAGTTCAAGTACGAAGAAATGATGGTGGCTCAGTGCGGCTGTAGATAATTTTGATAACTTCCTTTTGGCTCGTCAAATTTCGTTTTTAACTTACCTTTTAAAGTTGCTTCAAAATGATCAATTAAATAATATTCATAATCTGCAGTACAATGTTTCGCACTTTTGTTGAGCTTATTACATGAAAGATTGAACACATCATGATATATCGAAACTGCTTTTAATGAAAATTCGTCTTTGGATGTAATTTATTTTTAAATGCGTGAAATGTGAACATTATTAAAAAGTCTTCAAAACAATTTTTATGACGAAGTTTAATTTGAACCGAATAAAATAAATGTGGCTTAATATTTAAATTTTCTAAAAATGCATTTATTTGTATCATGGCATTTTATGGCTGATGTTATCCTTCCTTCACTTTTAATTGTAACCTGCACTGCAAACAAGAGCAGTCAAGCCTCCGACCTAAATGTCTCGTGTATTCTTTAGATTCGTTGCTTTTTTGTATCTTAATCATTGCCGAGAAACAAACTGAGGTCCTAACCTAAAAAATAAAAACATATACATAGTTTTATTCTTCTCGCTTTTTCTTGACTCGTGTTAAACACTCTTTTGCCAAATCTGCTTTTGCTTTTTCTGGTCCTTTTCTCTGGAACTCTCTAACTACTTCTCTGACTACTTCTCCATCACTTGCGAAGTTCAGAGCGGATCTCAAGACCCATCTGTTTTCAAAATTCATTGAGGAGCGCTGTTGAACATCGCGGAAATAGCGCTTTATAAGCTAATTGATTGATTGATTGACTGACTGACTGACTGACTGACTGACTGACTGACTGACTGACTGACTGACTGACTGACTGACTGACTGACTGACTGACTGACTGACTGACTGACTGACTGACTGACTGACTGACTGACTGACTGACTGACTGACTGACTGACTGACTGACTGACTGACTGACTGACTGACTGACTGACTGACTGACTGACTGACTGACTGACTGACTGACTGACTGACTGACTGACTGACTGACTGACTGACTGACTGACTGACTGACTGACTGACTGATCGATCGATCGATTGATTGATTAAAATTGAAACTCAAAAAATGCACTCAATAAAAGATGATAGCAATTTATTAGTAACAAAATGCAGAGGGAAAAAAAAGGTTTGGGGAAAAAACGTAAAAATTGCTACCCTTCTTATTTGGATACTCTTTAAACTCTATTTCAAAAGCCCATTTTTGAAAAGGTTCCGGTCAGTAGCCCTATCCTGTCTTTTGCTCTCTCACAAATAGGGCCAATGGTTTGAGACAACCCTATATAATAAGAATACAATACGGGCAAACTAAATTACAGGTGTAATTTAGTGCAATGTTTAAACGAATGCAATTTTAGTCAATTTATTTTGGTCCAGTTCCGATCAATAATATTATTGGAACTGCTTTCCCACAATGGTATATTATACCGGTATTGTCCGGTCGTACCCATGCCATTGTAAACTATGCTTGTTTTTATGAAAAGTTGTCAAGCGCATTGTTGCCATGGTGTTTATAAAGCATTTGAATAACTATGCCATAGTATGATTCCAACGGTTCCAACTCACCTGTCTACAGACGGTGCCATTCAACGAAAACTGCTCTGATGTATCTTCTAAACGGTTTGGGCTGTCGGATTGAAAATCCTAGCGATTAAAAAGACTAATAAATAAAACACCACAAAATATGGAGTTGATTTGTGCGGGCTTTAAAAGAAACTGCGATAACTATTCTGGTAGGTATTCGGGCTGCTGATGAGTCCCCGGTAGGGACGAAACACGTGTCCAGCCTATCCAAACGAATACTATTCTTTTCTTCTCCCGCTCACTGCTCTTCTGATTTGGTGTTCTCATCATCAAACGCAACCGAAACAGGGTCAATGAATGTACAGAGCGTTTTTCTTTTGCCTTTGTTGGATATGAGGACAGCCTCGACTGCTTTGATCAGACCTTGCTAATTCATAAGCTCAAATATCGTTTTGGTGTCTCTGGGACAGTAGCCTCGTGGTTCAAATCTTATTTAATTGGTGGAACGCAGCAAGTATTTTTCAACAATGTATTGTCAGATGTAAAAGTTGTCCTGTCAGGAGTTCCCCGGGAATCGGTTTTAGAACCACATCTGTTTTTGCTATACGCAGCCGATGCTCTTCTAAAAAAAACATATCTTCAAATACCAGGTGATTTGCAGATAATTTGTTCAAGTACTGCGGTTCTCACTTTCGAGGAGCTAGTTGATACATATTTTCTTTTGTTTAAAAGAACTCAATGGCTGTATGGTCGAGTATGGATTAAAGCTGAATGAAAGCAAGACGTACGTACCTGTCCGTACGTGGCAGTAGTTACAAAAAATTCGTATTAATTCGATCAATATTTCCGGTACAGTTGTCGATTTTTGTACATCTGTAAAAAATTTGGGTATCCTGTTTGATCGAACTATGACAATGTACCAGAATAGCAGGGCACTTACTAAGAAATGTTGTTCTCAGCTTCGAAGATTCATACAAATAATAAAATCTCTCAACAAGGAAACACTGAAATGCTTGGTCCACTCATTTGTCCATTCAAAATTGTATTACTGCATAGTGTTTTTTATGGAATGTTTAATAGACTGATTGATCGTCTGAAGTCAGAATCAGAATCGAGCGGCAAAAATTATTTCTGGAGGATTCCACTAAGCTCAGGAAGCACCTCTGAGTTAATATTAAAGGGTGTTATATAAATTCTCTAATAATAATAATTAATAATAATAATAAGCGACCTTGTAAATTGGAAACAAGAACAGCAGAGGTTTGAGTGACTGGAAATAGCCAATAAATTGATTACAGCAAAATACCTCCAAGGTCAAGTGCTTTATTTCAATTCCTGCATGAAATTTAGTAACTGTCGTGTATCCATTATAATTATTGCAGGGAACTTACAGATGGTACGGGGAGATTGGTAAGAACTAAAAATGCGTTAGAATGATGCGAATTCTTCCAAGTCAAAGTTCATGTAGGTAGTGTGTATTTAAATTCTATTTTATGATAGCTGGCTATACCATACACTAAAAATACTCAGAATTAATAAGTTATAGATTGTTTACTTAAAATACCATGGTTATATATCCACGTAGAATACTTAGATTGTTGGTTTACCTATTTTCGTTGTTGGTTAAGCGCCGGGTTGGAAGTGAGGTTGTTTTCGTTGTTGGTTAAGCGCCGGGTTAGAAGTGAGATAAATAGTGACAAAGAAGAATATGATTTTATCAATGAAGAAAAGGAGACCAAAGACAAAGAAGTAATAAAAACTAGCATCGTAAATAGTGACAAAGAAGAATATGATGCTATCGATGAAGAAAAGGAGATCAAAGAAGATGACCAGCCAATAAAGAAACCTGACACCTAATTTGCATCAAAGTTCAATTTTACAACACCAAAGTTAATTTTTACAACGTCAAAGTTCATCTTGACAAAGTCAATATTTCTCTATATATACAGCAAGGAGCACTGATGATGATTCATTCGGAATCAAAATATGGCCTTATTTGCAGCATGAATTCGAAAAATAAGTTTATTTTGAATTTTAATAAACTAAACGTTCACCAAAAAACTTTAGTGAGAAAAATCGAAAAAACGAACTACAAACATATTAACGCCAAACAATC